TATATATATATATATATATATGAAGGTTCACCTGTTTATTTGTCGTTTATTTATGATTTTCTTCTCGACGGAGACATATACTACAAAGAAAAATATAATTATAATTTCTTTGATTACAAAAATTAATAATTGAGAATAATCAAATTCATATATAATAAAATTTATGAAAAGTACATGTCATAATAACAATAATATACAAAACAGTTTAGAACACTTGAGTTATATATAATTATTGGGTTTCTCAGTTAAGTCGTGTAACTCCTTCATCTTTTGGTCCAAATGATTCTATTGAATTGTGATTTAATATTGGAAGGCAATGAAATCGTCACGGGGAGAGAAGCTCGAAAACGAACCATGGAGCTTGTGTTTGCATTAAAGCTGAGACGTGAAAAATCATGTTTAACCGGAAGCAATGAATAGGAGTTTCCATGTAAATTTACATATAAAAATCAAACACACACTGAGTCCCAGTAACACTAGGTGGTGCGAGTGTGGAGGTGGCGCCAATCATATACTCTAAAACAAACTTCACGTTAAATATTATTCCAAAATAGTTGCATGTGCCGTTCTGACCTCTAACTCGTTATTTCAATAGAAATATATTTAAAAAAAATCAAAACCCGGGGGAAAAAATTGTTGCACTTATGTTGCATTATTTATAAAAAGAAATTCACCCACCAACCCTTTCCGTTTTCTATTCAAATCAATTTTATTAGTATTTGGAATCATGTTGTGTTTACCTTTTCTATTATATATAAAAAATCCTAGAATGAAAGGAAAAACATGAAAGCCGACAAATTCAGACGTCCCATTCCACTTTTTCGATGCCTTTGTCTGATCCATTACAAGCTCCATGTCATAATAACGGTTACTTTCATGGATGTTCCTGACTTGACACGTGGCCGCATAGCTCCTCCTTTTGGCGCGAATCATTTTCTTTCATTGTATTTGTCTCGAACAATCAATTCGACCATCCGAATTGAAAACGGCGCCGTTTGGTCAAAGGCACACACGAATTCTTCTTTTGGCGCAACAGTAATTAGGACCATACCATTATTAAAAAGACCATGGATCCCCCTCCAAAAATGATGATAATTTAATTCAATTGATAGAAATTAGAAAACAAATTTAAAATGAAACCTGAAATGATTAATCAAGCAGGGGAAGGTAGTGTAGTGGGATCTGCTGACGATGGAATCTCCGGTCCAACCCGGCAACCTTGGAGCATGAAAACAACGTCAGACATTGATGGTCGATCAAGAGGATCCGTTGCTGTGCATAGGAGACCAACTTTGACACCCAACAAAAACTCTTCCCACTCCGAAGACTCCGGGTCTAGCTCAAGCAACCCTGGCTCCAACAACTCCGATATTTGGCCCCTTTGCAATTGCCTCTTCACCCACTTCACTATGTCCTCATCTTCCGTGAACATCACCGGTTTCTTCCCCGTCAGAATCTCCAACAACACTATCCCAAAGCTATACACATCACCCTCCTTCGCTGCCACCCCACTCGACACAGCTTCCGGCGACACATACCCTAAGGACCCAACTGGGGTCGACGACGACGATGCTTCCAATGCTGCTGCCATTGTCAACCGCTCCAACCCAAATTCAGACAAATGGGCCTCAAAATCTGCGTCAAAAAGAACATTTTGAGGCTTCACATCACCATGCACTATTGGCACCGAGTGCAGGAATGCTAGCCCTCGCGCAATGCCTAGTGCAATGAGATGACGCATTGGCCAATTCAGCACATGCCCATCTTGTTGAGAAGCCTCTTGGAGAAGAGTCCCTAGGTTTCCATTGGGCATGTAGTCGTACACAAGAAGTCTCACATCGGGTGGGCCTGCGTAGTAGCCGCGAAGAACTGTTAAGTTTCTGTGCTTCACTTTGCCTAGTGATTCCGCTTCCTTGCGGAAGGTACCCTCGTCTATGAACCCATCGAGAAAACGGCGAATGGAGAGAACCATGCCATCTTGGTAAGAGGCTTTGAACACGAGGCCGTATCTTCCCCTGCTCAACACGTTCTCTTCGTCGAAGTTTCTCGTTGCTTCCAATGTCTCTGCGTACGTGATCTTCTTGTTGAACATCACTAGTTTTGGCCCTCCTCCGTTTTCTCCACTCCCTCTACTACCTCTCTCTCCTCCCACACTCGTTGTGGGGCTCCGTTTCTTCTCACCCGTGACCCCTTCTCGAAGCTTCCTGCGCCACCTCAAGAGGCTGTAAATGTAGCCACCACAACACAAGGCCAAGAGACACAAACCAGCCACTGCCACGCCTATGAAAATTATTAGCCTTCTCCTCTTTTTTCTCCTCACGTTTGCACATTCTCTGTGCAAGGGTTTCCCGCATAAGCCTTGGTTCATGGCAAACACAGAAGGGTCGTTGAATGTAGTGCCAAGCGTTAAAGGAATCTCACCCTCAAGATTATTACTAGAAACATTGAAGTACTCCAAACCAGAAATGCTTGATAGTTCAACCGGAATTTCGCCGTTCAATAGATTTGAAGAAAGGTTCAACACGGTCAATTTTGATAACTTGGACAAGGAACCTGGTATATGACCCGTGAAGTGATTAGCATCCAACAAGAGTGAACTCAGAGCAGAACACTCAGATATTTCATCTGGGATATCACCGTTCAACTTATTGCGACCCAAATTAAGCTCTTTTAAACGAGAGAGCCGAGAGATTTGATCCGGAATGTTACCCTCTAGAAAATTTGACCTTAGCTGCAAAACTTCAAGTTGAGAACAACCACCAATCTCGGGAGGTATTCCACCAGAAACACCATTGTGAGACAAAGAGAGAACCGATAAAGAACTAAGGAACCCATAAGTTATTGGAATGTGACCAACAAATTCATTTGAGCTAAGATTAAGATACCGCAGACTCACTACGCTGCTGAAACCCTCAGGAACATCACCACTCAAACGGTTCTCTTGAAGCGCCACAACTTGCAGGCCCGGTAGCCCAAAAACCTCAACCGGCAACTCACCCGACAGGTTCTGCTTGCTCAAATCCAACACCGTGAGTCTCATCAACCTCCCCAACGTAGCAGGAACCCTGCCTGAAAACCCACACCCACTCAAATTAAGAACTTGTAAAGCGGTCAAGTCCCCAATGTTGGGCCAAACTTGACCCGAAAACTTGTTATTGCCGAGATTCAAAGCACTCATGTTCCCCAATTGCATGATCTCTTCAGGCACAACCCCGCTTAACTTATTATCACTCAAATTCAGCGTCTCCAGCGCAGTAAGCGTTCCATAACTAGAAGGCACCGAGCCGGTAAAAAGGTTACCGGCAAGAGACAAGTCTTTGAGGTTCCTCAGTTCCCCGAGAAAGTCAGGAATTAACCCAGAGAACCGGTTCCCCTGAAGATCAATAACCTCCAACAACCGACAATTTACAATGCTACGCGGAACAACGCCAGATAACAAATTATTGGCCACTCTCAGTTCCTCCAACGCGGAAAGGTTCCCAATGTCGAGCGGCAGAGAACCGGTAAAGAAGTTTCCAGAAAGATCGAGAGCCTTGAGCGTTGTCGCGTGGGTCAACCACGAGGGAAACGGCGCGTGAGCAATGCCATTTTCTTTAACATCCAAAACCTCCAAAACGCTGTCGCATTCGGCACTTTGCGGCGCGGAAAGCCCCGTGAAGAAATTAAAGCCGAGCTTCACGCTTCTTAAGTTCCTGTTGCAAAACACGGACACCGGGACCGAACCTGAGAACTGATTGAGCGAAAGCGACAGCACTTGAAGGTTCGGCATAGTTCCGAGGGTCGGAGGGAGAACTCCGGTGAGGGCGTTATCCTCTGCGGTGAGGTGCAGCAGAGAGGAACAGTTGGCGAGCGCCGAGGGTAGGGTTCCGTGAATGCGGTTTGAATCCAGCCATAGATACTGAAGGTTCTGTAGTGTTCCGAGGGAGGGTGGTATTCCTCCGGTGAAGGCGTTGTAGGAGAGGTCGAGGAAGCGGAGGGAGGCGGAGAGGTGGCCGGGGAGTTTCCCGGAGAGGAGGTTGCGGGCGACGCTGAGGATTTGGAGATTGGTGAGATTGAGGAGCGGCGGCGGAAGGTGGCCGGAGAGGTTGTTGTTGTGGAGGTAGAGGGCGCGGAGGAAGAGGCATTGCGCGAGGGAGGAGGGGATGGAGGCGTTGAGGTTGTTGGAGTGGAGGCTGAGTTTGCGGAGGTGGAGGAGGTTGGAGAGGGAGGGAGCGAGTTGACCCGCGAGTTGGAGACGCGGCAAGCGGAGCTGGTGGACTCGGTTGTTGTGGCAGAGAATGCCGCGCCAGTCGCAGGGTGCTGAGGGCGTGGAGGGATCCCAACCGTCCATGGAGCCGAGAGGGTCCTGGAGGTTCCGCTTGAAGGAGGTTAAGGCTTGAATCTCTAGGACGGTGTCGTTTTGGGCAGTGGCGAAGAATGCTAGGAGAGTGAAGGTGAAGGTGAAGAATATAACCGTTGTTGCCATTAGGACGAAGATAGCGAGAGGGGTTGTTTGTCTCTATGTCATGGTTTTGGTTTTGGTGGCTCCTTCCCCAAATGGTTCCAAGGCTTTTTATGTGAAAGAGTAGAAAGGGTGGGTTCTTTTGGAATTCTGCAGCTCTCTCTCTTTCTTACTGTTTGCTACCTGTTTTTCTGCACCTCACCTCCACCACAACTAACTACTCTATTTTTATACTCACAAAATGCACTTCCTAAAATTAAAAATACATATATTGAATAAATTTTTAGAATGTTTTAAATATCTATAAATTTAATTATTTATTCTTGTTTTAGTCTTTTTAACATATATTAATATTATCACTTTAATCTCTCTTTATTTGTATCAATTTATAATTGTACTCTCTTTATTTTTAATAAAAAAATATTTAATTTTCTATTTTTAAAATATAAAATTTTAATCTTATTATTAATTTAATATTCATTAATCGTTAAATTTTTGTTATTTAATAATTTATTATCACTTAAATAATGTGATATTTTATAACATGACATATTAGTATAAAAATTAAAAATTAATATAAAGAAAATTTTTGTTTGTATCTATTTCTTAGAGTGATTGATATTTATTTTATTAATAAAAAATCTTATTTAAATGTTATTTTTAGTTTTTTATTTTTATATATGATATTACTAAATGTCATAGTACTTAAGTAAAACTAAACGTTAAAATTTAATAATTAGTAAATATTAATTTAACAGGAGGATCAAAATTTTATATTTTTAAAATTAAAGAGACAAAATGTCTCTATTTTTAAATAAAGGGACCAAAATTGTGGATCAATGAAATAAAAAGATTGAAAGTGTAATTTAGTCATTTTTAATTTTAAAATAGACTAAATTTAATTTTTGATCCCTTTATTTTTTTCGATTCATAATTTTAATAAAAAAAATAGTCTTATTGTCAATTTAATTTTCATTGATTGTTAAATTTTAATATTATATAAATTTATCGCCACTTAAATAACATAATATTTAATGACGTGACATATAATGATAAAAATTAAAAAATAATACACAAAAAAATCTTCATTTGTATATTTTTTACAAGTGATAGGTATTTATTTTATTAATAAAAATATTATTTGCATTCTTTTTAGTTCTTTTATTTTTAAACATCATGCTACTAAATTATGAATAAACATTAAAACTCAACAATCAGTAGATATCAATTTGAAGTATGGATGACAATAGAGTGATGGGATTACGATTTTCATTATCCTCATCGCTCTTTATACTTATCATCATTCCCATATTTGACGAATATGGAATTTGTGTCTTCATCATCGTCGAGTATCGAATATACTCGTACTCATTTCTTACTTGCCAAAAAAATAATTAAATATTTAAAAAAATATTAAAAAATAAGAATTTCAACATAGAGTTATAATTATAAAATTATATTATTTAAGTTTTATTTGACATAAATTAAAAATAGAGAGAATTATATAAATGTCAAGTAAATTTTTAAAAAAATTAAATTTCTAGAAATTTAAAGTAGATATGTGTATACACATCCTCATCCTCGTATCTATTTTAATAAATTGGATATTATCCATACTTATACTCGGTCAAACCGAATATTTCCTATCAAAGTCAGATAAATTTGAGTATTACTCACATAACGAATTGGATATTATAAAGAAGTTGCGCTATTAAAGTAAAAGAGACATATTTTAAAATAAAATATAGTAAAAGAGATTTATTAAATAAAATATGAGACTTAATAAACTTAGTTATTTTCAATAATATTTAAAAAAAATAGATAAAATATCGTTACTTCTCTTACAATAAAATTTTAAAATAGTACTTATATCATATTTTAATTTTAAGATTTTGATAAGGGAAAAATTATTTCTTTTAGGAATACATCTTTAAATTTATAAAATTTCTTTTTGTTAATAAACTATTTATTTAATGATTTAAATAGTTTTATCAATGAAAAAAAAAGCATATATTCATTTTAGTATTTATATTTTTAAGTTAAGAATATCTCTTCTTATATTTCTTTTTCAGACAAGTGATTTTATTATTATTACCTAATAATTAGTAAATGTTAATTTAATAGGAAGATCAAAATTTCATATTTTTAAAATTAAAGAGATTAAATGTCTTTATTTTTAAATAGAGGAGCAAAATTGCGGATCAATGAAAATATAAGACTAAAAGTGTAATTTAGCCATTTTCAATTTTAAAATAGACTAAATTTCATTTTTGATCCCTCTATTTTCGTCAACCCATAATTTTAATGAAAAAAAGAATTTTAGTCTTACTGTTTCATTGATTATTAAATTTTAATGTTATATAATGATTTATCACCACTTAGATAACATGACATTTAATAACGTAACTTATAACGATAAAAATTAAAAAATAACATACAAAAAAATCTTCATTTGTATATATTTTTACAAGTGATTAATATTTATTTTATTAATGAAAATATTATTTGCATGTTTTCTTTAGTTCTTTTATTTATAAACATCATGCTACTAAATTATGAGTAAACATTAAAACTTAATAATCAGTAAACATTACAATTTCAAGCTTAAAATCTTTAAATAAATTGTGCTATTAAAGTAAAAGAGATATATTTTAAAATAAAATATAGTAAAAGTGATTTATTAAATAAAATATGAGACTTAATAAACTTTGTTATTTCCAATAATCTTTAAAAAAAATTAAATAAAATATCGTTACTTCTCTTACAATAAAATTAAAATAGTACTTATATCATATTTTAATTTTAAGTTCTTGATAAGGGAAAAATTATTTCCTTTAAGAATACATCTTTAAATTTATACTTAATTTTTTTGTTAATAATCTATTTATTTAATGATTTAAATAGTTTTATCAATGAAAAAAAAGAATATATTCATTTTAATATTTATATTTTTAAGTTAAGAAGATCTCTTCTCATATTCTTTTTTTAGACAAGTGATTTTATTATTATCACCTAATATTTTCTATAAAAAAATTAATTATTTAAAGTTTTATTTTCTAATAATATTTTTTTAGCAGATTTTATCTTTTATTTTTATAAATAAAATTTTCATTTTCCATTTCAAATCTCAAGTACTGACACTTTTATTGTGTTTTTTTTCCTACATATATATTCCCTATATTTTTTTATTTTTCATTTGAATTCATTATGTATATCAATTTCATTTTCTATTTGAAAATCTTATTAAAAATAGCAAATTTCCGTAATGTGCATGTGGTACTTTTTACGTTTATTTACGTGTATGTTTATATTAATGATACGAGAAGTTAAAAAGTTAAAAGTATAAGATATTTTATTTTTAATTTTTTTGTAATTAATTTGAAATTAATCATCCAAAGTGTATTAATGTATTATGTTTATCCAAAGTTACAAAATTTAATGATAATTTTATTAAATTTCAAATATACGAAATGCTATTAAATATTACTTTATTATAAATATTTGTAATTTATGATATTCGTATAAATTATAATGTTTATTTTACTAGTTACAATACTTTATGCTTTTCAACGTGATTTTTTTAAAATTTTTATTTTATAGTGATCGATTAAAGTCACAATATTTGATGCTTTTCGCCAACATGATTCTATTGTCAATATTCAATAAATATTAATGTATTAATATAATTATTGCAGTAAATATTAATTGATTAAATCAAATATTTATTTTGATTAATTTATAATAGTTATAAAATAATAGTTCAAAACATTATTTAAGCAATATATATTACGTTTGAATTTATAATCATCCAAATATAATTTTTCAATAAATATTAATTAACTTAAATTATTATGGTACATACTACGTAATTCATTCAAGTGTTTGTTTTGATCTATTTATGTTAGTTTTAAAATTATAGATTCTAAAAGTTATTATATTGGATTCAAATTAATAAAAGTATATATATATATAAGGGATCCATTTACTTCCGGAGTAACTCTTTGCATCCTCACTCTTTATTTTATTTAAATCTAAATAAATCTAATAGCTTATAATGAGTTACTAAAAATCATGTGAGAGTTTTTCATGAGTTACTGAAAAGACTTACGGGAGAGCTTATCTTGTAAAGTTTTTTGCTAGACAATCCCTCTTCCTTTATACTTTTTTATTTATCCTTTGATATTGATTTTGGTTCGTATGGTATTTCATTTGCAGAAGAAAAAAAAAAGAGCAATTAGATAAACATTTGCGAAAGAAACAATGAAGTTGAACACAAGTATTTTTTAAACTTTTCCATTGGCTGCCTCGACTCTCATGTGTATATTAAGATATTTTTTATTAAAGTACAATTTTTACCTTTTTGTTTCACCCATTGACAATATATATAATTGATATATTGTTCTCTGTATCACTACTTTGATTGAATGTATTTATTGGACATGTAACTAAATATATATAATCGATATTTTGCTCTGTTTCACCTTTATAATTTTCTTTAAAGTAAAAAATGTAACTAAATATGTAAGTTTTCTTATATATATTATTGACATATAGCATCTATTGACACACTATTTTTCTTTTCTTTTTTTATAATTGGTGTAGCAAGAAATAATGGACAACAATGGTAATGATTTTGAAGCTATGCCCAAGGACTTAGAAATATGGCATGAAAATATTATATTGGATGCTCCAAATGTTGGTAAGGAAACCAATATTGAACCTTGTGTAGGAATGGAATTTGTTTCTTTTGAAAAAGTTAGGGAATTCTACAATTCATTTGCTAAGAAGAGAGGATTTGGAGTAAGTATTCATTCAAGTAAACCTAAGAGATCAATTTTGGTATGTTGCAATGAAGATCAAAACAAAGTGAAAAAATATAGAAATGAAAAGAAGTGTTCAACCTTTCGAAATGGTTTTCCAGCTTCACTGGTTTTTTCAAGAGGTACAATAAATAGCAATTGGATTATAATTGCATTTAACAATGACCATAACCATGTTATGGTTAGCCCAAGAAGTATTTCTTATATGAAGTGTCATAAAAAGATGAATGGTGCAGCAAAGTGCCTTGTTGAAAAATTTAAGGAAGAAGGCATACCAACTGGAAAGGTTGCTACCATTTTCAATAATGGTGAATCAACATTCTCTAATAGAGATTGTTGGAATCATATTAGAAATTTTTGG